CGACCTGAAGCCCCGCACCCTCGGGTCAACGAATGTTGAAAGCAAGACAGAGCAGAACGGGTTGCAACACGAACCCAAATTGCCTATGTTTTCCATCCGCAAGCGAAGCCTATGGCTTAAGGCCTAGCGGGTTCGAGCAAAAGGCCACGATGTGCAAAGCGACTTGCGTGCCGATGCAACATGCCGAGTTTAACATGCCTAATACTTTCTTTGTTGCTTTCAATCGGCACCAAGAGGCTGAGGCACTGCTTCCGCGTGGAAGATCGTGATCAGCGTATCTGCATGGCCGATTAGGGCATGCTGATTCGGCAAGGCACCATATTTGGTGCCTCTTTCAAGCACTCGCCACTCCAGCTGGTCCCCAGCAGGGAAACAACCAAAAGTCGTACGAAACGGCAGAGAGTCGCTCGAGAAACGTGGCTCGGGTGTCCTTAAGGACCGTGCATTCTTCGCCACATTGATGCCAAGCCCGTTTTGGGTGTGCCATCCTTTCAGCTTGGCCAGCCTCAGAAGGTGACCGTAAACTGGGTCGTCAGGGCGAAGAGGTTCTCCTGAAGGAGTGGTAGTAGAGCTCGAGTTCGTTCGAGTAGAAGACGCCGAGGGCCGCTTAGCCTTCTGAACCTGCTTGACAAAGTCAGGGGAGTAGGTGATGGACCAAGAGCCACGGCGCATCGTAGTCCTCAAGTGAGTCAAGTCCATCAGCTTGGTACCACCATCGACCCACATGTTCTGCGTCGCCGTCCATCTAAGCGCGGTGTTGGGACGACGGAGAACGGCCCGCATCCAGGCCACCACGAAGGCCAAAGACTTTTGTGTCCCGTAGCTTGGTGTGTCGGAGTTCCCCTTGTCGTGCACGTCCTTGGCATCGACCACCAGAGTAAGAGAGACCTTGTCAAGGGAGCGCTCGGCGAGCTTGCCCACGGAGAGGTAGTCCCTGACACTGGCGACAAAGCCTCGGCACAGGAGGCCCATATCCATGGCCTCTTCAGCTCCAAGGGTTTCGGCCGCATATGAAGACCGACACACACGAGGGATGCGGTGAGAGCGGGCATCCAGCACGTTGAACTTGCCCTCGCGGCCGGCCAACAGGTCGTCATCAGCCAGTAAAACGAAGGCGCAAGCCTGGCTGAACACTTTCTCGGTGGGCGTACCGTCGTCGGACCCGTTGAGTTTCACGTTGCCGAGGGCTGCGTCGCTCACCACCACAAGGCCACCGCGGTTGTAGTCGATGGGCCGGAAGATCATCTCGAAGTTGCAGTCCTGGCGGAAGTCGCGGACGGCCGAGTTCGCCTTGAGCACGGTCTTGACTGTAGGCGCCTCACCTTGCAAAGTAGAGACAATGAATCCCATGTCAAAGCGGAATTGGGCCGTCAACCACTGAAGACTTCCGAGAAGGGCCCGCAGCTGGCGTCGCTCTGGCTCGGTGAGCTTGGCGTTGAGCTGTCGACGTCGGTAGGTGGGCAGGTTGATCTCCTTCAGGTTCTGGTGGTATTCCGCCATCGACAGACGAATGGTTCCATCCGTTGCCCGACGAATGCGCTTCCCGCACCACACGAAGTCGTTCTTCTCGACACTGCCGAAGCCAAGCTCGTCACCCACGGCCTGTAGAGAGCGCTCGGCCAGGGGTGAGCCAGTCATCAGAAGATCGTCGACGTGTGCGACGATCACGCCTTCAAGCTGGCGCTTGCCATTCTTGGAAGGCTTGCTCCAAAGAAGCCACATGGCCCCATCGATCTGAGACCTTTCCCATCCACGGTCCGCCAAGCTACGAGACAGCCTGAGCCACCACTCACGAGGAGCGTCTGCAAGTCCGAAGATGCCTTTTCTGACACGCGCTAAGCAGCCAGCCGGGATGGGAATCGAAGGACCAAGTCGGGGATCCGTGCCGGTGACATACAGCTCGCGGTCCAAGTACGGGTCCCCTTTGAGGAATGCCGACTTCACGTCAGCTGAAGTCACTGTCCAACTGGTGTGGTAGGCGGCGATGCAGAAGAGAAGGTGCTGAGCCAGCCTGCTTCCGGTTGGCGCGTCCCTCCGAAGGTTACCTGACAGGTTTGAGTGGTCTTTGTACCCTGGTACGACAAGCCTCGCGGAAGCCTTCACGGCCATGGCCGAGTGGCGGTACGTAGACCATCATGCTTATCAGTAAGAACAAAGCGGGGCTTTAGGATGCGATCCAGTTCGCCGCGCGACGCCAGATCTTTCCTCACCCGCAGGGACGCCTCAACATCGAGGAGCTCAACCGCCTGGTTGTCGATGTAGGCCTTCCATCCTGCAATCGCTGCCTCGTCGTACTTCTGCTTAAGCTGAGGAGTCAGGGACCGGTAGTTGTATTCCTTCCGCGCCGCCTGCACCGCATCAATGTGGTGCTCATTGCCCACCGGGAAGCACTCGCCCACGTCCATTCGCAGTTGCCACTCACGTTGTGAAGGAAGAGACCAGCGACCATCCCAAGTGCCGGAGTCATACTCCTGAAAGTCAAAAGGGAACCGACGGTCATGCTCGGCAAGAGCCTGAACTTGGAGTAAAGGATGCACCTGCTCATTGCCGTATGCTAACTGGTCCAACTCCTGGTGTGTCAACGTCAAAGCCTCAAAAGCTGGAGTGGCCCCCGTGGTAGTAGGTGGTTGTAGTGCTGCAGGTTCTGTGGGTGCTTCGGCCAACGCTGAAGGCAATTCACCAACATGAGACGCCCCCGAGGTAGTAGGTGGTTGTAGTGCTGTAGGTTCTGTTGGTGCTGAGGCCAAAGCTGAAGGTGGGGCTCGAGGGGTACCCTCCAAAGGCTCCGAAGCAGCACGTTTCATTCCCCGAGACTCCTGGAGCTCGTCATCAAGCGATCGAGCCCTTGACAGAGTGCTCTGGAAACCAAGTTGCTCACCTAGACGTACTCGAGGAACTCGGGAGAGAAGACCACCCACAGGTGATCCCGGAGATCGTGTAGGGTGAGAGGGCCCCGGTAGTTCAGATCGTAGGTCGCTACCAGGCACACTTTGGAACGAGGCTCGCCTAGAGGGCGCCAGCGAAGCCGAGGGCGTGCCGAGCGCCGCAACGATCTCGGAAGGGCTCAAGTCAGGAGAGGGCCCAGAGTTCACTGAGGTCACGGGCCTTTCCTGTTCGGGAGAAAAGCTCTCGTCGTGGTCAAGTCGATCCTGAGGTTCGGGGCCTGGAAGACGAATGTCCTCAAGCTCGGCCATCATCTCGTCCAAGGAGTCCTGCCAGGCGCCCGCAGCCAATTATTCTAAGGAAGAGCCTTTGCGAACATGCTCTCGGGAGCACTTAGTCATCTGGCCCCGAAAGCTCACAAAACAATTCCCTCCAGGCGAGCCATCGGAACCAACCTCAGTCGCGATGAGAAGAGCAGGCCCGTGCCACCTGCGAAGCTCGACTTTCCTCCGTTGAGTCGAGGTGGCTGCGTTCGCCTCGCCCCTCCGCCGATTGACCTTCTGCTGCCGGTAGAAGAACACGATGTCGCCAGGTTGGGGTTGTTGCTCCTCGCTCGGCTCAGTGCGAGCGCGGGCCAGGCTAGCTCGTCGAAGGCCGCGAGAGTAATGTAGACGAGTCATCGAAACCCTCGCTGTTTCACGAAGTGCCACCTGCCGAGCCAAGCTGGGCCGCGACTCGAGAAGAGAGTGGGCTGCGAGGCTTTTGTCCAACGATCGAAGCAAGCGAATCCACCATGTCGCGAGGTTGGCGCCCAGTCACGCATTGAAGTGGCGTCACCCCTTCCTCGTTGATGTCGCTGTTGTACGCACTGACTGCTTCGCCGACCGCCTCAGCCACCTGAGTAGCGCCGAGGAGCGTGTGCTGAGTCACCAGTGCATGGGTGATGGCCTTCAACGTTCCACCGGATCTTTCGGCCAAGCCGTTTTGCCATGGTGACTGAACCCCAATGTGGTAAAGGTAGATCCCAGCAGCCTCGGCCCAATCACAAAAGAATTCAGAGACGAACTCACGTCCTTGGTCACAGACCAAGACCCGGGGAGCGCCCATGATCGGAAGCCAGTGGGTTTTGAGAAAGTGGCATACCGATTGACTGGACTTGTCCTCGATAAGGCCGGCCATCTGAAATCGGGAGACCGAGTCGGTGATGTGCACCACCACATAGCCTTGCTTGCCCGCATCCTCCACAACCAAGAGGTCTATATGAGCTTGCTCCCCGACATCACGAGGAGGAGGAAGAGCAGCCGGCCGTCGAGTCCGAGGAGCACGCCTTTCGGCACAAACCGAACACTTCAACTGTTTGGCCGCTAAGACTGCCTCGCGAGGCGCTCCACAAACAAGGAGAGCCCGGGCTAGTCGAGCTGGCGAGCGGTGGCCCGTGTTGACGTGCAGCTTGTAGACCGCCGCCCTCACGGCCGGCGCGATCCGCATCTCGGTCTCCGCCGTTTGGTCAGGCGGATCGTCCTCACCATCCGAGCCCCACACGCCCAGGTCATAGTCAGTCTGGTCGACACCCTCCACACGAGTGTCCTCCAAGGCAGTGGGGAGCTCGCCATCAACGGCCATGGCCTCGCGCTCGGTCGCCTCGGGCTGATACATCGCGTAAGTGTCAAAGTCGAATTGGCCCTCGGCTGCCGAAATGACAGCCTTGGTGAAAGTCTTCGGGTAGCCGCCGACCTGAGAAATGCGGCCAGCCTCGCCCACACACAGCACGTGCACATGATCCCGGGAGCGGCCTGGGCACTTACGGCCCAGCAAGGAAGATGCCAAGACCTGAGATGAGGTCAAAATCCGGGAGGGTTTGCGATGCCGAAAGCCGAAGGCACACATGTCAAAGTCGATTTTGCGAACCGCCTGCCGTCGTGACAAAGCAACCATAGACGGCAGGCCCCAGGCTTGAGATTGCCGGGGGTTCTCAATTGCAAAGTGCCCGCCGAGACGAAGCTGAAGTTCAGCCACCTTAGTCGCGAAGCGAGCCAGCCGCAGAGACATCCTCACCGTCCTCACCCGATCATCTTTTTGTGCGTCCAAAGCCGCTGTGCGAGTGGTATTGAGACGCTGCAGGGGGCTGAACGCAGGGCACGGGAAAGAAATCATGAGAAACTGCGGCTTGCTGCGGCGAATCAGGGCCAAAGCCAGTCGCTGATGCTCGAAGTTGGTGAAGTCGTAGCCGCCGTCCAGGGTGAGGCCCTCGAGCACGTTGTGTCCGCGGGCTTTGCTGAGTTGAGAAACCGAGCCCGAGAGAGGGCCCACTGCACCCAGGACCAGCTCGCCGATGAACACCTCGTTCTGGTAATCGGCGGCTTCCTGGAGGAACATCACCTCATTGACATCATGGACGCCCGCCGACACAAGACGTTGTTCACGACGATGGCGGCGCCAGGCTTGTGTAACAAGCTGCTTTGTACCAGGCTTCAGGGGAGCAGGGTCAAACCACCAGGGGTTCACAAGTCCTCGCTGCTGTCCAGGACGCCCGCCATCTGAAGTTGCGGGTCGTCGGCCGGCGATTCGTCCTGGGACGGCGGGCTGACCGGTTCCCAGCCCATGTCCTCGTCGGGGCGCGTCACCTGCAGGCTGGAGACGTGCTGCCACATTTGGCTCCACAGGCCCTGAAACCGCTCCTCCTGTTGCGACATCATCGTCTGAACCTGCTGGAGTAGGAGCGCGTTCTGGGCCATGGTGGCTTGCGACGAGGCACTCAAAGCATCCTCCAGGGAAGTCGCTGGCATTGGGCCGGCGGTTTTCAAAGGCTCCGGTCCCGAAGATGAGGTTGCGGTCGTAGGCAAAGTTGCCGTCGGCGTCCTTGAGGGAGATGTCAAAGTAGAGGGGGCCGCCATCACAGGAGTCGGGGCTGTAGTCGATGACGTCGGGGTAGAAGGCGTCGGGTGGCCCCGAAGGCTCCCAATGACTTGTCGGATCTTCTTCTTCAGGGTGTCCACGGTGTCCTTGGAGTCGACCGACACATGAACCAAGGTGGCGAGCTTCAAGAGGTCGGCCTTTAAGGTGGGGAGCCCGCCTTTTGGGCCGAGGAACGTTCTCGGCCAAGCCTGTCCTGGAGCTCCTTGGCCTCCTCCTGCTGGTCCCGCAACACCGCCGCCTTCAAAGACTTGCTTCGGCTCGTAGAGGAGCGGGCCGCCAACATCCCGTCGACCAAGGGGTCCTCGAGGAAAGCCAGACGAAGTCCCAGCCGGTCCCGAAGCCAGCTGGCTTCGACCAGCCGTGATGCCGTAAGGAGAGGAAGTGCTCGATCGTAGTGTCGCGGAGCCAAAGCTCTCCTCTGAACCATGTTCTCCGCCTGAAGCTTCCAAGCTGCCACCGTAGACACCGAGGGGAAAGGAAGCGGCACATAACGCAAGGAGGGCCGTTGCAAAAGCCACAAGAGTACGCCTCCTATGTGCCATTGAGCGCGGGCGCGAAGTCGTTGAAGCATGCGGCCCCATCGGCGGGTGGCCTTGCTGAGCACCACGTTCCCGAAGAGGCGCGCGGATTCCATGTGCGCTAGCTTGGGGACTCGTGGAGGGTCGCGAGCTTCTGGATCGAGCCGAAAAGGTACCGGTAGTCAAAGTTCGTGCCCGATCAACTTGCATCACTTCACGTCCTGACACAATGCTGGCTTCAGACAAGAGGTGCTCGGACGCATTGGAAACACGGTCAGCACCACCGGAAATGAGACGGCCGAGCCATTGCCTCGAAGACATAGTCAACTCAACGACCCCATCCAAACCACATCTACGAAGACGACCCCTTTGAGAGAGGCCCCAGCTATCCGGGTGCGGGTCGTTAGGGAGGAGGTTGACCATGAAGTGTCCCGCCCGAAGTTGGAACAACTCAAGGGAACCCTCAAACAATCGGCGGCACTCTAGCACTTTTCGCTCGAAGTCAATCACTGCTCCGACGGCCTCCATCCAGTCGCGACCCATCACAAGGCCCAACGAGGGTACTGGAACGATGCTCACCCAAAAGGCAAAGAGACGGCCACACAGAATCCCGGGCAGTCGCCAGCGCTCATAGCTCGGTGTCACGCCACCATTGCCGAACTTGAAGGCCTCCTTCTCGGTCACCGTACGAACCATTCCTCGGACCTGTTCCGGGGCACAGCTCTCCAGCAAGGAGAGGTAGTTCTGAAGCCAGCGAGGGCCAGCACAAGTACGATTGCAGGCCGAGTCGAGGGCCCCAATGCCATCGCCATCCAAGTGCGCGGTCGAGGGCGGAGCCACCGAAGAGGAGACCAAAGCTCCATGAGCAAGGGCTTCATCCAAAGCCAGGTCATCCAAAACCATCGCCTCGTGGATCTTTTGGCCGGCCTCCGGGGAGGCAGGGACTTCGTACTAAAACCAATCACATGGGCCTCGTGCTCAGCAATCTTCGCCTGCCTCGCCACGCCAAAGCCGCCTTTTCCCCGACCAGCAGCAGGAGGCTTCCGCCCGAGGCCGGCACCAGGGTTTCGGCACTCAGGGTCCCCAGCCCAGTGCCCATGCTCCCCGCAATCGAAGCAGGGATGTTTGCCAGAAGCTTTGCGGTTGGCTGAGGTCCCGCCCTTTCGGCCAGCACCCTTCGCAGAAGCGCCTCTGGAGCTTTACAGCCCCTATCTTTGCGAACTTGTTGTAGTCGGGATCGGGCCTCCCGCATGGAGACCAAAGCCTCCGCACCGGCTTCAACCGATGCCTCCAAGCCGCCGATGAGCTCGTCATCGGCACCATCCTCGGCCAGCTCCTCAATCTCCGCCGCCAGTGCTTCAGCCTCTGTCTGCAACACCTCCTCGAGAGAGCGGTTGTCCTCCTCAGCGGGAACATCATCATCATCAGCGTCCTCGGTCTCAGCTTCGTCCTCCTCGGTCTCGGCCACGTTGGCTTGTCGCCCAGGGCTGGGCCTAAAGAAGGGCCGAGGGGTAGTAGGTGCCGAAGTAAATCGCCCCGTAGAAGACCGCAAGCTCGAGGACGTAGGTCGCGAAGATGCCGCCGAGGAGCTCAAGGAAGTAGAGGCCGGCCGCCGAGCACCGAAGAACTTCAGGCCGGGCTTCTTGAAGAGCGGGTCGCTGGCGTGGAGGTCCTTGAAGAGCCGCAGAATCTCGGCTTCAATGATGTTATATTCCTCCTTCCCGGACAGGGCCGTGTCCAGCAACTGTTTCCTGAGGGGGTCGAGGCCGATCTTTTCACGCAAGAACCATCCCAACTCTGTGTCCGGGATCTTGACGCCCTCCTGCTTAAGGTCGGCCACGACCGTGCGGAAGCGAGAGCAAAACTCAGAAACACGCTCACCAGGCTTCCTGACGAGCTGCTGGTAGAAGAGATTTCGCAATTCGCCCCGTTTGTCGAGGACAGTGCGACCATTAATCTCCTCCAAGGAATTAAGCAGTTTATTAAGTCCCGCCAGCAGGTCCTCGTTGATGATAACCACGTCATTGCCCTCGCCGTCCTTGCCCCGCATCTCGGGTTGATATTCCAATTCTTTCGGGCTGAACTCTTCGCCCCTCTGACGAACCGGTCCCGATTGTCTAAGAAGCCACCTCGCAGCCAAGTTGTACTTGCGAGTGCTATCCAGGTCCAAGCTCGAGACCCACCAGTCCATCTCCCGGCGGAAGCTACGCCAGGTAAGGGGACTCCCGTCCCAAGTCGGCACCCTGTACCAGGCGCTGGCTCCTTCATCTTTGCTGTCAGCCATCACGCCAGATGCACTTGGTGAGAGAGCCCTCAGAGGAAGCAATCAATGCAGCAAAGCCAAAAGTAACACCGAATTCAGCAAAAGAGTCCTGGCCCCGCTCAAAGTATCTGGCCAGGGTAGAAACAGAAAAAGCAGCAAGCTCCTGCCACAATCTTGTAGTAGAGCCCGCTGACGTCGAGGAGGCCGAAGTTCACTGAGAAGGCCCGGCTGATCGGGTAAGTGAAGGTGAACTCGGCCGCCGAGGCAAAGGAGTAAATGCGCAGCAGCAGCAGCTGGATCACGCAGGCTCCGGTGCCACTGTTGAAAGCAAGACAGAGCAGAACACAGAAGAAGCGAACTGCCCTCAGCGCTTGTTTTCCATCCGCAAGCGAAGCCTATGGCTTAAGGCCTAGCGGGTTCGAGCAAAAGGCCACGATGTGCAAAGCGACTTGCGTGCCGATGCAACATGCCGAGTTTAACAAAAGCTTTCCCCGGCAGTGTAAGCGGGTAGCAGACTGGCCTCCAAAGCACTTAGCAAGGAAGCTGAGCTGGGCCAGTCGGCTTGGGAAAATCACGGTTACAGGACGAACCGCCTGATTTCAGCCTGCCTACTTCGCAGGGCGCAGACCGTTAAGGGACACCTAGGCACTCTGTTCTCTTCTGTGCGACTGAGTTGAAGAACGAGGAAAGAAAGAGAGGATGGGAGGATGTCCTCGCGCTGCCTCGAGAGTATAGGGCAAACCAGCGGAGGCCAGCAGGCTCTGCAACGGTGCCACTTCGAGCTCTGCATCTCTCAACTCGACTTCGCCAGAAAGCAGTCCTCGGAGCTCGGAGGGAAGCAAGAAGTCTTCGTCTCGACTCTTCACACGGTGTCTTTGATCCGGCGAAGCCACTGGATGAAACTTGATCAGCATTCAAGCCGCGAATATACCTCAGTCTACGTCTACACGTCACAAACAGGGTGGACGGCATTCCTTCGAGTAGAGCCTTTGTTCCTGCTCATGCTGCTCATGCGACATGCAACGCGGGCAAACGAATCTGGGGTCAAGATGCTTGGACAGGTACTGCACCACCTTTCGCTTGTGCATTGCTTGCGCATTGTCTCCCGGCACTGCTTCCAGCTCGACATCGCGCAGGACGCTCAGGGCTTTTGGTACGAGTTGAGAGTCGTGTCGTGCGAGTCTTACATAATCTTTCCCTACATGCCTACACGCTGCTATTTGCGACTTGGCATGAGACGAAGCCAATGCGGCAACAGGCGAGTTGTGCTAGCTTGCAAACCTTCACGAAATTTAATTCCGTCTTGGTCCCTGTGAACGTGTCACTTGTACAGGCGGCGAAGCCCTCGCGATTGTTTGAAAAAAGCGCTTGCAAAGAATGCAATGTGACGGAAAACCCCATACAATGTGGTCAATGCTGCCGCGCAGCAACACATCAACACACTGCTGTGAACAAACACGCTTGCAAACGGGAGTCTTGTCGGAGTCGTGTCCAGGATTGTTGCGATGAACATGCCGTCTGCTTTCCATAGGCTCAACGCTGCTGCAGCTGCTGCTAGCTGACAAAGCCCCAAGCCACGAACAAGTCCTTCCATGCACGGTGGAGCTTTGTGAGACAAGTCGTGGGTCATCCTGACATTGCTTGAGGTGTTTTCACGTGACCAGCACGAATCTATGCTGCACTGACATTAGCGACCTCAAAAGGGATCTCTGCGAGGTCTGCCGGGTCTTCGGGCGCATTTATTCCCGTACTGGATCGCGATCACATCACACGTCACACCCTTGGACTGTCTGAATCCATTCTGTGTGCTTTTGCGGAAAGTCGCAGCGGACAGCAGAAGCTTGGCCCTGAAAGCACAACTACAGGTCTCCTCCGAGGCCCTTCCAGCACAAACCCTGATGATCGCTTGCTTGGCGGTAGGCTTCCATTTTGTAACGCAACGACCATGATGAATGTCTGTTCTGCATCTGCTTGCCTTTTGCATCCCGTAAAACCGTGCTTGTCACGCGCGGCGCGGGTTGAAGTGTGCAATTGCTGTCTAGGTCAGCTCCGCGTGGCGTTGTTGCTAACATGCACAACACTGCCACAGTTCGAGGCTTCAACTTTTCCTCTTGCTCCTAAGCCTGGAGCCTGTCTCGGGTGGTGAAACTCTACCCAGGGCAGCCTCAGAGAGGCTACAAGCCCTGAAAAGCTTGTGCACTGATGCGCCGCCGTCTACACTCCACGCTCTGGCTGAGCCTGTAAACCTGAAAGTCTCATTCGGTGGATGCAGGCGCTTGCACCTGCTGAGCCTGGGCCACAAACTGCAATGTGAGCTCCAGCTGCACTCAAAAAGGTGTGAAGGCACTGACCTGGAATGCTTGCAGCTCTGCACCCACCTCACCATGGGAATCACTGTCGCCTTTACCCGAGAAGTCACTTGGCTCTTCATGCCTTTGAGTGGACATCCATGAACTTGTTCACACACCTGGCCCAAACACTTGCATCTCTTTCTAGTCAGCATGTCTCTTACTCGGCAGCTGTGGCTTAGCCGCTTAGCCGGTGCCTGTCTACGCAGCTCATCTCGCCAACGCTTAACTTTTCCTCCTTTGTAGCTTCAAGGGAGTTTGCCTGCTTGTAAACTGCAGGAATCCAGTCCTTGACGCTGGCTATGCACTTGTTGTAGCAGCTGGCCTGCATCCTGCACTGCATGCCGGCCGGCTCACGAGACTCCAAAACGGTGAAAACTTGACAACTCGCAACAATGAGTTCAATGACATCAACGTGAGAGTGACGTCCTCGTACAGCAGACGGTCGTGTTGGTAGTTTTCATTTTTCTTTCCGCAACCGACACTTTACGGGTAACGCACGATGCCCACTGAGAACTGCCTTGCCATGCAAAAGCTCACAGGCAAGGCTGTGCTCAAATATGAAGAAGCTGCACGCGCTGTATGTGCATGCATCATCATGCATCCTCTCCGCTCTGCTGACTCGGCCATTGTTGCAACATCGCAAAGCAGCGTGCATCTAACTACACGGATAGAACAGAAGCTTGACACAAGACAGTCGTCCAGGCCGAAAAGGAACAATCTTCAGCAAGGCACGCTTTATGAAACTTTGAGCTGCATGTAGGCGTACGCACGGGAAGTCGCACATGTAGTATGTCCATGTTGCAGGCCCGCGATGCGTTGTCTTGCGCTGCGCACATGAATTGCCTAAATGTGAGGGCCTCCAATCAAGCAATGAAACCAGACAAGCCAAGGACCGCTGCAACATGCAGACAGAGGTGTGATATACATAATGTCCGACATACCATTCGTGTAGACCTGTGTGCACGCGACGTGGTGAACTTGCAGCCAGGCGAAGAAGTCGAAACTGACAAAACCAACCACGGCACAATCAACGAAAAGGTGGTGCCAGCAAGCATGGCTAGTCACGGTTAGTCTGTGTTCTGAAGCTACGACATGAGCTGCTGAACATCACAACATCTTCCTGCTAGACGTGTGCGGATGTAGAAGCTCTGACTATGCAGGCAGCCATCCCAGTGTCTCCAGCAAGCCCACAAGAGCATGCCTGAAGAAAATGTCAGCCATGCCCTTCATCTCTGCCACCATCATGTCCACCGGGCTTACCTAAAAATTGAGCTGAAGGCGTCAAAGCTCAGAGTGTTGTTGCATCCGCGCCTGTGGTTGCTGCCCTGCCTGGGCGCCTAATAAGCTCGCCATGACCTGGCGAATGTCTCGGAATCTTTCAGCTGCTGGGATGCTTCTCTTGCACAGTCTCTCAGGCCTCCAGAACTCTGGCACGAGCCTTGTGAACGATAGCTTCGAGCCGATTTGAACAGAGGTCTTCAAAAAGCGAAGAACAGTTTGCAAGACGACACCAAGGCTCCAAGAGCATCTCTTTTTACCGCCACTCGTAAGCGAAATGCTACTGCACGACTTCTTGCAAGATCGTGGCAATGCCGTCGGTCAACGAAGGATGCTGGGTTCTGATTGTATTCACTGCGCAATGCAAGACGACTTACACACTTACCTGACGAAGGGCATTGGTATCCAAATGCGCCTGCCGCATCTTCAGCGGCGGTTGGTTTGCAGCAATAGGCAGTATTGGCAATGCAAATTCGCACGCTCTGGTGCTGCACAATGCAAATTAAAGCGGAATGCAACTGCTGTTGGCTCTTAAACTCGCTCGCATCTAGACAATGCATTGTCGTAGTTGCAGGAACATTCCGGCACTGCAGGCTTGCACCTTGCCTCCAGCAGATCGTTGAGATAGTGATGGCAGTGCTTTGAGTTGGGCCACTGTAAAGCGGAACATAGACGAAGCAAGACCAGCAACATGCAATGGCCGGCTGCTTCGAATCAAGCAACGGGGCAACTCGACTTACTTACCTGGTCTGAGGTAGACTGAGACTCGTCGACGCATTCATGCAAACCAGCTGTCAGCTGCCCCCGAAAGCCGTCGCGCCTGAAGTCTCAAAGTGTGACAGTTGATGCCTGCTTGACATGTAGGACACATGAGACACTAGTTGTGTATGTGTATGGCGTATCAAGGACCTGATTTTTTGCAGCCTTTGAATGTGTTTGGAGATGATGGGGCAGAGTGCTCCAAGAAAGTCGTTGGATGTCCTCTACAAAGCAGGCAGCATGGCAGCATGTCAGTGTTCTAGCATGTTCCAGACACTTGCAAGGTGCTTTGCCACACACCTGCCCTTCCATGCAGCAAGTGACCTGCCTCAGCAATGCACAAGAAACAAGTCAAGGCCTTTGTTGGAGATCCCGCAGATCTTCTGCGTCAGATCGTCCAAGTGCGCCTCTGCAAATCTAGCTCAGCGAAGGAGGCCATGTGACTGCCGTGCTCGACTCTAGCTGCGTATTCTTCGTCAACACAAGCGTGCAGGCCGTCTGATTCGTCACGGACTTGGGGTATCCGTGCGCCTAAGTTCCAGCCGTTGAGAACCAGCTGGAGAAAGAGAGTGCACAAAGTCACGGAAGCTGAGATTCCGAGCTCGCACCGGTATCTCAGAGGGCTGCGGAGCCTGCAGCCTGCCATCGAATGCATCGAAGAATTGTTGGGACTGTTTCTCGAACGTCAACAAGAGGTTATGTCCATGTCATGTTCGAATCGCGCCCGGATCGTGGGTGTTTCCAGTAGGGGTAATTACATCAAAGTGTGCTGCTGGCCAATCAAAGAGCGATTCGTAGACGCCAACGAGGCCGCAGCAGTCAACTCACAAAATCAGTGCTTCCCCAATGCCTCACAGCAGCATCACCCCTGAGAAGAGAAACACGAAATTTGGGGGATCCTGCCCTCGTGTCGACGATGTTACCGACCGGAATTGGGGAACTGGGTCTGGGCTACATGCAAAATACCGGACTGGGTGAAAAGAAGCGATCCGAAATGAAAGCATCATGCTGGCTAGCACTTGACAAATGAAACGTGTGTACCGTGTATTGAAGTGTATTGACTATAAAGCCAGAACCAAGTGTGTCCCTTCGATACAAGAATGAAGTGGGGCACTGGAAGCCTTGAAGCTGACGAAAAACCAGCACCACAGCGCCATGCATGAAGAGAACTTGCTGAACGGTTGGGGGCCGTTCACGCACAATCACATCCCCGCGGCCTGTTCGAGGCCCTTCCACTATCAGTCATGAAGGCAGTGGCGGCAGCCTCAGCTTCCGATAAGGCGCGGGTCTCTGAGTGCACTTGCTGCGGCTGCGGGCTGCGATGCTGAGGTCGAAACTGCACTCGAGAGATGTCCTGTGAACGAACATTGCTGCATCTTGCGGGCTGATCGGGGTGCAATGGGAGCGTCAACTGAGTCCAAGCTGGAACGCATGTCCTACGCGAAAGGCACAAAGTGCCTCCTGCATCATCGCGGCCGGCCACCCAGGCATGCTGCAAGAGCGCTGAGGCCGAGGGCCTAGGCGTGGCGACATGGCACATGGCACTGCCGGAGCGGGCGTGACCTAGCCCTGGCCCGGCCTGGCCGTAGCATCCTTTCGCATGACTCCACGGAGCAGGCGCTTCTGTGAGTCGCCTCGGAGCAGTGCAGCCTCAATACCCTCGATGTCGATCATGAACTTCGGCAGTTGTCAATATGGAAGCCTTTGGCACATGATTGTGCCCCACTTCGCGCAACATCTGGCTCGACAGAGAGTGTGCCCTTGTGCAATCTGGTGGGCCCGCGGATGTTTCTTGAGCTCGTGCTGCCACAACTTGACCCGGACCCAGGCTTTGCCGAAACTGGAATTTCGACGCTTTCGATTCGGAACTGTGCGGAATCGGAGCTGACAAGTCGATGCGGCATTGAAGATGTGGCTCTAAGCCTCTAAGCACTACAAGAATCCTTGCGAGCGCGATCCGATCACGAGCCGCGACTTGTCCTGTGGCCTTATCCATCCTCTGGCTGCAATCCTTGGATCGATTCATTTGGCAGTGCCTGCAGAGACACAAACGTTGCCCCTGGAGAAGAGAAAATTCGCTCCAATGTCTCGTCTCTTCGGCCCAGCTCCGAGCGTGACTACGCGTGATGCACAGCATCCGTCGCTAACTTGAGGCCCTCGCCGAGACAATCAGGAAACGTGAAGCTGCCACGTCGAATTCTGGCATAGAGTTGCATCCTTGGAATCGGCAGTGGCCCTCGGCATTGACACGGAAGAAACCCGACGGCCCTAAGGAGCTCACTCAGTCTTCGCCGAAAAGGGCAAGGTGCCCGAGAGCAGCGCAAAGAGCACCTTGCAAGAGGCTTCCCCGATCGCAGTGCAGCGCAGCGTCCAAGAGAAGTCCAAGGCCCAGGCCACTCCCAGGGCCCACATGTCAGCTGCAAAGCCTCGAGATTCCAAAACCGGCCACAAAATACTCGCAGCCTGCCCTGCGGGTACGGAGGACGGTCCCTTTTAGGGCTGGAGGAGCTCCGACTAGCAGCTTTGCAGTACATGCTACCACTAGAGCCGACAGCCTAGCCGCACAGGAGCAGCCGTGCGGATAGGCTTTCGAGAGGCCAAACAAGGTCTGGTGAAGCTAGGGAGCTTTGATGTTCGGAGCGAAGCAGAAGGACTGTGCGGGCTTGTAGTACATAAATGGAATCGTGGTGCTGCAGGCGTTGGACACATTAGCTATACGAGGTCGAGGACTGTCCATTCAAGCTGCGGTCCTGTCGCATAAAGAGCGCAGAACAGGTCCGAACCATGAGACTTTGCCGGTTTGGAAACATGCAGCAAATGTCGGGCAAAAATCCATGTCAAACCGATCGTGCCTGAGTAGCCCTCGCCACGTATGATCTCCGGAGCCATGTACCTGGCTGCGGGGCGGGATGCAGATGTTAGATTCCTGACACAACACTGATGTCTGCTGTTCCTGACGGCAACCGACTCTGATGCAGGCATTGCTTTGCGGCTCCGGCGTAGGTCTGTGCCAGCGGAAGCATGCGTCCTAGATCCTGGGACGAACTGCCTCACGTCATTGGCTCAACGTTGAAAGCATTGAAAGCCAGGTTGTGAGAAACGCGAAGTACATGGATGTGGATGTGCTGCAGGGTTGCTGCAACAGGTCGCAGAAGAGCAAGAGGATGCTTTTCAGCTGATCTGAAAGGATCATCGCAGACTCCCGTCCGCCTTCATGGTTAATCCGCATGTTCCAAGAGCATCAAAATCTGTCGAACGACCGAACATAAGAGATCTGCAGACCTCGAGCTGCCGTCTTGCGTCAAGCTTCATGCCCTCCTGCTGGCCTCGAAGCGCTTGTGCCACATGCCAGGCAGTACCGTAGGCACCTCCAGAAGGTCCTCGTGGTGTAAGAGCCAATCAGTACGAATACGAGCGTTTAGTGATAAGATCCTTTAAAGGCTTTCGAACTCGAGCACTTGAGACGCATGCTCTGAAGGCTGGAGGTTCTTTAAGTGAGGGTCTGGAATTTGGAACTCTCTATGACCACATCTCCGAATCTCTCACTCACTTGGTTTCGTGTGGCTCCTTCGGTTGGGATCCTAGGCATTCACCTGACTGCCAGGCTATATCCCGCAGCTGCGTAGCCCGAGAAAGTCATGCAGGAAATATGACGGCACATGTGTTAAGACAGAGCTAACAGCGAAACGACCAGATCACGACAGAAGGTGCGAGCAAAGGCCATTCTCGGTGTGGGCATTGCGTGAACACACACACCGTCACACACGCACACACACGCACGCACGCACGCACACACACACACACACACACACACACACACACACACACACACACACACACAGACACGCATACACATGCATGCACACCGGTCTGCTTCGCTGGTTTTGCACATGCAGGATG